CTGTATGAAATTAACCGAAAATAATTAAAGAAAACATATAAATTGATTTATATAATTAATTATTTTACTATAAAATGACATAAATATTATTGACAAAGCGTCACTATCGGACTGAACTCCGAACAGAATCGTTTTTTCGTAATCAATGGTTTATCGTTGCTTACGGGTATACGTTAAATTATCGATAACAGTGGTTGCACCGGTGTCCCCATTATCCTGGGAATTCTTTTTTGCGATCCGATCTCTGCGTTTCCCTCTACGCGAATATCCCGTTTCACGACTCGGCCGAACAAGAAATCGGCGCGTTATAAATAATATTAGAGTATAAAAAAAAAAAAAAAAAAAAAAAAAAAAAAAACAAAAACAAAAAAACAAAAATCTCGACTCATTTTTTTATTAACGAGCATATTATACGCCGAACACGAGACGTCACAAGAATATTCTGCATGCGGTTTTTTATTTTTTTTTTTTAACGATCACAAACGTACGTAAAACAACTATAATAATGTTACGTATAATATTAGCCGACCATAATGTAATAATGAGCACGAATCTTGGCAGCCCGGCGTCGCACCGAGCGGGAAAATTGCGTATTAATTAACCCGTTACAAAAAAAAAAAAAAAAAAAAAAAAAAAAAAATAAATAAATAAAAATAAATACATACACGTATCGACGTTTGCGCCATCGCGAAATCACTCGAATGCGAACGCTCGTATATTTTGTTTTTAAGACACGTAATAATATTCCACAAAAAAAAAAAAAAAACCAGACTCGTGCCCTAAAGTGGATACAAATGCGAAATGCGTACCGCCGATGAGCGAATGCACAGCGAAACGTAAAAAATCATTTCGGAATCCACCGCGAATTGTTTCCGTTGTATTATCCTCGCGGGGTCAAGAGCGGATTCGATACCCGGGCCGCGTTTTCTGTGCAAACGCATAGTACGCACATTGTACGCCCGCTGTCCTTCGGATGAAACTTCTGAAAACATGCTTGGGTTCTTCGCGAAGTTTACTCGAAAAAGATTTTTCCGCTTTTTTTTTTTTTTCGAATCCTTCGACCCTTCGAAATCCGAACGTTTCGGAACGTTAAAAAGCGAATTTCAAGTAAACTCTCCGCGACGAATCCGAATTTCTACGATTTTAACAGGACGACACGACCGGCAATATATTGATACTTTTAGTCAAACGGTTAAAACGCCTCCTCGGGCCTTCCCGTTAAACGGGTACGGTTTTTGCAAAACGGTAATTCGGCGGAGACGTTCAAACCGTTAAAATGTAAACGAAAAAACATTTTCGGACTTTTCTGAAATCTGACTAAAATTTGAAAAACCGGTACCCATCCCCCCGTTCGATTCCGGTTTACGGAGTCCGTTGAATTCGCGTACAGTTCGTTACCGCAAACTTGTCCGCGGTTAAACTGCCGGTCACATCGGGTCGTAAAATCGTGGTAAATATCGGAGGTTCCCAATCTGTGATGCGCGAGGCGATATGCGCATACGAAATCGGAAAAAATCGTGTTGAAACTAACGACCGGGTCCTAACACGGATCGAAACGGACGAATGATCGGACCCATGCGCGCGGGATAATTTTGCGTATGCGACCTGACTGGTCCACACAGTGTCCGGATCGTATCCCCGGGGTGCTGTTGGTCGAACCGTCGGCGCACCGTCGAACAGCCGAAATACCGAACGGGTATTCGTTCCGGAGGGGGAGGGGGGGGGTTACAATCGCTGCGCGTCGTCGGTTCGTTGTCATATTGCGGAGCGAAGCGCACAAACGTTCCGGAGTCACAGTTACGATGAAACGCGCGCACTCGGCGATTCGTACGGCGCGGGACGAGCGTCGGGAGGGGAATGGAGGGGGGGGGGGATGAACTACGCGCGGCAATGCGTAAACAATTATTGAAATGCGCCGAAAACGCACGGCCACTTACCGGACGACGGTCGATCCGAGTATCTGGTGCAGTACACCCAGGCGGGCCACTGTTGAGACGACGACGAACCGCCGCCGGCGGCGTCCTTGTCGGCGACCGCGTTGATGGCCGCGTCCACCGAAGACGACGACGACGACGACGACGACGTGGCGGCGGAGGCGGCGACGGCGGCGGCGGACGGCGCGCACGCCGTCTGCGAGTCGGAACACGACAGGTCGATCGGCGAGCTCGGCGGCTCGGCGGCCGCGGACGACGAGGACGACCGCCTGCTGCTGCTGCTCCGGCTGTTGTTGCACTTGTCGCGGTCCGACGACGTGGACAGCGACGACGACGACGCGGTGGACGGGGCCGCGCTGCTGCTGCCGCCGCCGCCGCCGCCGCAGTCGTTGACCGCGGCCGCGGCCGTCATGGGAGCCGCGGCGCCGCCGCGGCCGAACTGGTTCAGATGGTGCAGTTGGTAGTTGATGTGGTTCAGGCGGTCGATGTTGCTGAGGTGTTGCTGCTGCTGCTGGTGGTGGTGGTTGACGTGCTGCTGCAACTGATGGTAGTAATGTGGGTAGTAGTGGTGCTGCTGATGGTAGTGATGGTTGTACACCGCGGCCGGGGGACTGTGACCGGCGGCGGAGGCGGCCGCCGCAGCCGCAGCCGCCGCCGCGGCCGCTGCGGCCGCGGCGGCCGCGGCCACGACGACCACGTTGCCGCCCCCGAATTCCGGTCGCAATATGTTGTCGATGCTGAATTTCAACGGGCGCTCGGCCGAACCGTTCAACCGGCCGCCGGATGTGGGCTGCACCCGGTCGTCGTTGTACACCGTCGAACCGTCGTGGCCGCCGGCCCGGCGGCCCGACTTGCCGATCGACTGCTGCAGCGCGTCGCCCGCGGCCTGGCCGTCCCGGCGGCGGTGCATTTCCATCGCCTCCGCCGCGCACTGCTGCTGCTGCTGCTGCTGCTGCTGTTGTTGTTGCTGCTGTTGCTGCTGCTGCTGCTGCTGCTGTTGGTGCTGCTGCTGTTGCTGCTGCTGCTGCTGCTGCTGCTGTTGCCGCAGCAGACACTCGGCGGCCATCATTGTTGTGTGCGCGGAGTGAAACGTTACGATACGCGAACGGGCGGTGCGACCGTGCGTGAATGTTATGCCCGGCGACAGCGGCTGCGACTGATGCTGCGACGGCCGCCCGGACGCATCACGCGCTCCGGCGTTCGGTGGTCCGCCTGCGGAAACAACAAAAAAACGTTTTAATATCGCGTGAATCCGCGGTAAATGGCCCGCGCCATTTAGCTGACGTCGCGCGAAAAATGTCGATTTTTACGGTTTGCGACCGCGTGCGATATCTGTGTGGTTCGGCGGGACGCATATTTAATCGCGGCATCTCTGGCCACGATATTTCACGGGACCGTTCGCGTTTTACCGTTCTGTACGCTGTTGTATAGCACCCGAATCGCGTATATTTTTCCCGTGCGAAAAACCCGATACGTCAACCGCGTGATCTCTCCTTTGGTTTTTCTCGCGACTGAATGCGACGAGTTCGTCAGTAATCCGACGAACGGTTTGCGCACAATTGCGTTGCGCACGTTTCCCGTGAAAAAATACCGGCGTAATTGCGCGTCGCGAAATCGAATACCGACGCGCGGCTCGGGCGCGAATATTACGATTTTCTAAAAAAAAATACCGCGCACTCGCCCGTACGAAAAATACCGTAGTAGACGTTTTCGGTTCTACGACTATTTTTTACGGAATTTTTTTTTTTTTTTTCGGCAATTCACAAGAGACATAAGCGGCGCCCGAAAAAAAAAACGTCACCCCACGTTCGTACCGTACGGTCCGGGATATTGTTGTGCGCTGACCGCGGGACGTTGCTCCCTCGGGAATAATGAGCGAGAACCCGGTTCTTCGGGTTAAAAAAACGCACATTATCGGTGTAACCGTTTAACCATAAATATGTCGTGTATATATATATATATATATCAACGCTATCAACTGAATCGTTTTTTCGTCACCGATGTTTCGCCGTTGCTTACAGATGTACGTACATTGCATTCCCGACTTTCCACCCACAACCTATGGCTACACCCTGCACGTGCGCGAAGTGTGTCCGTCCTTTTCACGATCAAAATCTCACCGATTTGTTTGTTTGTTTGTTTGGTTTCACCCCCCCCCCCCCCCCAATGGAATTACTATAATAATAATAATATCGCGCGTTTCGACGTTTCGCGGATGACATTCAAAATTCGACCGCGGTGACGGTACTCCGCCGTGCTCGTGGGCGGTTTTTTTAAAAAAATGTTATCATCGCTATTGCTTACCCAGAAAAAAATCGCGTCGAGTTTGAGCGACGCGGATTAATAGCGGATAACAATGCACGCGATTGCGTTCGCGCCCGATACTCGTACACCGTTACGTATATTATCGTCGTACGCACACGCACAACAGGCGGTCGGCAGACAATTACGATATTCTATTTGTGGTCAATGGTATCGCGACGGAAATAGCCATACCGGATTAGAGATAAGCAAACGGTTTCGCGTTTTCGGCACGTATTACCGGGACGTACTTTCGTATTGTTTTGTGCGCGGCCCCCGCCACTCCGCCCGCGGCGAGTTATCCGTGTTGTTATATTTTTTTTTTTCTCACCAGCCCGCTGCTGGCTGCGAAATTTCGATTGTTGCCGATTCCCATGCACGCGCCCGTATGGTTTCGTAGGCGCGAATCGTTGTAGCGGTGACACGCGGTTTCGGTTTGCGACGGGGGAGATGACGCGGTTTTGACCGATCGAAATGACCGAAAGAAAAACCACCGCGTTCACTATTGGTCGGAACCGTCTTACGCCTTAACCGAGTTCACCTACGCTTTTACACGCACATATTCGTGGTACAGAGCGTCTGTCTCTAAATTTCGACATGCTTCATAAAACACTATAACATCGGGTTTGCCGTTTACGTTACGCCCAACAGAGCAGTAACGTGTCCGGGAATTTTCGGGGGAAACTAGGAGGCGTAGCAAACGAGAATCGTGAATAAATCGTAAAACCGTCTTCTGTGCCCAATTCAACCGTTCCTCGTTACTTGGCTGAAATATATGCATTTCGATATTAGATTACTCGTATATTTTTTTTTTTTTTTTTGTATTTTTAAGTCTATTACATGGGCAATAACCTCTTACCTCTCTCTCTTGCGCACACGCCCAACAGTAAAGTCGGGACCACGCATATCAAAGTACTATCTAGACAACTTGGGTTTTCAGAAAAGTTGCTGCACGCGAAAATCGGAACAAGTTTGCTGGGAAAAAAACGTGTCCGCAGACTGGAACAAAGAAATGAAGAAAAAACAAGAAATAAACAGCGTTGTAAAACCAACAGCTCCCTCGTCACGCTCGGAATCAAAAAATAACCGTTTAGTTTGCGAAGAAATTCACCGCCATCGTTATTAGTTTTCAATTGCGCGTATCGGATATTACGTTGGTACAGGCGAATTCGATGTGATAACGTTCAATTGTGATATTTTAGTTGATGGTTCGACGTTTTCTTTTCTTTTTCTATTCGCGTTGCGCATTTCGGTTGTGCGTTTTGAATCGAAACGCCTGACGTCCTGACGCGTTTCATGCAAACGGCGTTTGAAAACAAATGTCCGTCACGCGGAGCCCCTCCGAATTCGAGGGCGGAATCCCGGACAAACCCCACCGTCCCCCGCCCTCCACCTCTCCAATCATCCGGGGTCCTGAGTGTTGCGTACGGCGTCGACCGTTCGTGGATTCGCGTCATCTACGAGAACGCACAGAGTTCGGACCGGGCCGCCGTCGGTTCGCGTCGGACGGACCGTTCTGCGGACCGGTCCGCACATTCGAGGGGGGGGGAGGGCAGTCCGTACGCCGTGGAAACTCGTCTATTTTTTTATTTTTTTTCGAATATTTCCATTGTCGCCGCCGCGACCCGAACACCTGCCCAGATAGCATAACGTCATTTCCCTCGGGCGGTTATCGCCGGGCGTTTACAATAAACACAACGGTATCGCGTTGCATAATGCGTATTATTGTGTGTGTGTGCGCGCGCGCGACTTATGAACTTATCGACCGCCCGGCATTATATAATGTTTCAAGGCCAACCTATAAATACACGGGCACAATCTATTTATACATAATGCGCTGGTACGTTTTTATCTTTAACAATAATCCGTCGGCGTCGACACGATACGGAATTGAGTTTTGTCAAACGAATTTTTTCGCTTTCCACGTCCGAGGCCGAAACACCGAGCAACACGCTCGTTGCGTAACGACAACAGCGACCGCGAATTCGTCCGGTACGAAAACGGGCGGACGGTCCGAAACGATCTGAAACGGTCCGCGTGCGTTGCATGGTCGGTGCCGGAAACGGACGTTCGCGTCGCGAAACCAAAAGGTATAAAAAAAAAACCGAACAAACGCGAGAACGCTACGCGCGCGCGGCATTCGGCTCTGGTCGCGCTACTCGGACGTGTGCACGCGGATCCGCCGGAACACACGGAACCGCAGGCCGTCGCGGGTTGTCGCGGGGCGACGGAAACGATTCGCCCGTTTCCGAAACGACGGAGTGAGATGAATACGTACGTTCACAAAACGTACGCGACCCGATTCGGTGGACGACTTCGTCGAGCCGATCGCGGGCGATTGCGGTGTTAATTTGCGCGTACAGTTCGATTCGAGGAAAGGTCGATTTTGTTTTCAATCTCGTTTTTATTTATTTATTTTTTTTTTTTATGTTATTTCGATAATTCACATTGAAATCGGATTCGTTTCACGTAATAATATTATCATGCATAGTTTCTCCCGGGGCGCGAGAAATGCGTTCATTCGCCCGTGTTTGTATTTGCATTTCATTTGTCCGGTCGTTCGTAATACGCGTTAACGAGAATAAAGGCGTTCGGCGTTTGCGCGATTCCGGTTATCGGGTTGAATGTTCAAGCCAAACGGACTTGCTGTGTAAAGAGCGCCGTACCGATGGCTTTACGGATATTTCGTAATATTATCGGCCACTCGATGGGTTTTGAACGGTAACAAATTACGAAAACTCGAGAAACCTCTGTACAGAAACTCTCTCGTACCGTCGTCGATTCGGTTTGCGCACTGCGGCGGTCATCTTTTTCATTTTCTTTGTAGTTTTCTCGGCGAACCCGTAAAACTGGCAGTTTTACGGCATAACTCGTGTTCGGGTATGTGGGTTGCCCCGGCGAAAAATTACGATTCGTAATACTCCGCTCCGAATCGCATTTCGTTGGCGGCGGCGGCTTATCGTCGCGTATACAAATATAAAAAATTAAACCACTGTTTTCGCACTATCCTCCCTACCGACGGCGTCCCTCGCAAAACAGTGGCACGGCCGTCTCAACCGTCGGCCGTTTTGTCTACTTCTTTGCCCTGTTTTTACATTAATCGTGCACATTCGAACGGATTTCTACCGACAAACGCGAAAACTAACACCCTCGATAACGATCCGTCTCTGCGGGACCCGCGACCAAATCGATACTTAATAACATTTAGGTATTTTCCGATGACAGTATAATGTGTATTTCATAAATTATTAACGTTTCAATTGCAACGGCTGTACGTAAGAATATACAATCTGCTCGCCACATGCGCGTGCGATTTTATTCTCCCCGCGCATGTATACGACTGTATACGTATGTATATGAATGGTTTTATACAGGACGACGGTTATAGTAACATACGTACTAATCATACAAACCAACACCGACGCGTAATTTTTTTTTTTTTTTTTAATTTTATAGGCGATAAATGTAAATTTATCGTGAAAATAAAAACAATTAACAAATTGCCAATAATATTAAATTAAGGGCCGCCTGCTTTTTTTTCTTTTCAATCGATATGTTTTACGTTACATTATAGTTGTTTCGAATTTTTTCGCGCGTTCCACTTTCCCCGCTTTAATATTATAATTACGACGGTACGGATTATTATCATTGCCTAGGCCACAACACACGCGCGCCATACATCATAATATTATTACTGCAGTGTATTTCGTTTGATGTATCGTCGCATAACTTAAACGGGGAAAAAAAATGAATAAACGCGCGATGTAAACGATGTAAAAAACGTTCGTAAATTTAGAAAAAAAAAAAAAAAACGAAAAGATTTATCGCGGCGCGTTCGAATCGTGTGTCGTTGTCGGCGATGATTTTTAAATAGGTAATTAACAAAACGCGGTGTGTTACGGACGAGATTAAACAGCACGAAACGCTTCTCGCGTCACTTTTTTTTTTTGTTTTTTTTTTATTCGTGTATTTTATCCACGTTAATGGTTCGCGTATAATAATATTTTAAGGTGCAGTTATGGAAACGCGTTTAAACACCAATATGATAATGACGTCGGCAGCGCGGAACAAACGGCACATGTTCTCCGTGATGTGAATTTCCACCACGCGTGGCCTGTCCCTCGAAAACGAAACTCCACGGGCGGACAGACCGCGAACGTTTCCCCCCCCCCCTTATGTCTTTGTCCTTTTCCCTGTTACCTCCTCCCCCCCGTTCGGAGGACAGCATTCTCCGTATAAATCATACAATTCAGTTACAATAACAAATCCATCAATGTACAATATACTAATTCCAGTTTTTCCGTAAGGTCACAGGGAACGTCCTCAAAAATATCCCTGACCATACGGGGCGTATCCGTACAATAAAAATATAAATACTGAAAGCCAAAAAAAAAAAAATAAAAATAAAATAATAATAATAAAAAATCGCAGGCGAGAACTTTGGTAAGTGAAATTGGCACCGAGAAATGAAAAAGTATCTCGAATATCTCGGGAAATATTGAGTCCAACAAATTCTGATGACTTTCAAAACAACGTTTAACGAGTCTATAACAGAAATGTGTAAGGGATAGTTTTTGCAACGGTTTAAATAGGTAAATTAAAATGTTATACGCGTGATGCTTGCGTCGCATGGAAAACATTTTTTTTTTTTTTAATTTCGCAGGAATGTTCACTGCATTGTTTACGGGGCGAAAGCGCGAAATACTGCAGCGAGATAAAAAAAAATGAAACAAATTATTTAGGTAACTAAATATAATATCCATTTATTAGACTTTGATCGGAACTTAAAGCTCATGGTTTTTTCAAAGATGTTTATTTTTTTTTTTATCTGTTAACAATTTGTCTACCAGAAGACTTGCTCAGATTTCTAAGTGTAGCACCTTTTCTGAAAGGGAATCGGTGTGGGGAAGAACTTTAGGAAAGTCATTTTTCGATTTTCTCAGGAGTTTTCCAGGCAAATGTGAAAAACCTGGATTAAACACGGGAAAACCGGGAAAAACGTTTTGGGAAATTGGGAAAATCGGTACAAATATTATTAAAGAAAATATATAAAGCATATTTAATTATTTCACTATAAAATGACGTGTATGTTAATGATAAAGCATCACTGTCAACTGAACTCCGAACAGAATCGTTTTTGCATAAGCAATGGTTTATCGTTGCTTACGGGTGTACGTCAAATTATCTATAACGGTGGCTCCGCCCGTCCCCATAATCCTGAGACGTCTTTTTTTTTTTATAATATTATAACTGCTGTGCATTATTATCATTCGCGAACCTGGCATAATTATCGCGTAGTTATAGTTTTGGTCACACGCGATATTATTTTGCGCACTATAAATAGCTGATAGTGTATATGATGCAATATACCTGAGTTAAAGAAAAAAAAAATAATGAAAAAAACTGCAATCTATACGGCACCGCGCCTGATGCAACGATATATTATTACTATGTCATTATTATATTATTATAAATCACTCGGCAATTGCGTCGTCACGTTTTTTATATTATTATTATTGCTTTTTATTTTTTTTTCTAACGTTTAAAAAATCGCGTTGAAAAGTATAAAATATTATGCTTCTATATATTATATATATATTATACACGCGTTTCTTAATCCCCAACCTAACGAATAATATTTATAACGAATGAACAACGAAAATCGACGTCAATTATATTACAATCGCGAACGGTGTTTTTTTTTCTTTCCAATAGTAAAAGGGCATAATTCAATTTCGGCCATTTTCTGTTTTTTTTTTTTTTCTTTAATCAATACACGTCGAATATGACGCGCGCAGAACCGCTTTAATATACGCACGACAGATATATGTATAGACGGCGTATTTTATTCGTAAATAGTTAATTTTGCAATTCGACCGAGCCGTAATATAAATATACATACGATTATTGACGTACACTCGTATATATCTGCGTTAATTGATTTACCGGGTGATAGTTACGGTACGGAAAAATAGATATCGCACAGGATGGCTGTATAGAACGGGAAAATTCAATTTTAACAATATCAATACAGTGATTTTTTTTTTTTTTATTATTATTCCGTTTGCATTCCGGAGACTTTGAAACCCTGCAAACTGTATGTATCGGTAAACTTATTATATGCGTTCATGTGTGTTTAGTTTTGAATGCTTTTCCCTAACTGTCGGATAGATTAAATCAAATTCGAATGGAAAAAATTCTTACGGTTTCCATAGGTGATAACTTCGATCTAGATAGGTTTGTTATCGAAATATTATTATGGAAATACGCGTATCGGCGCCTATATATATAATTTAAGGCTTATTCGAGATTTTTTCCTCCCGAGATGAGGACCTCAACAAAATACGGCATCGGTGTCAACCACTTTTCCTTGTTCTTAATATTCGACTCTTAGGTCTTGCATAGTGAACCATTACCGTCATCATAACTCTCTCTCTCTTTTTTTCTGTCATGTGCCACGTCAAAAGTCGCGGTGAATATCCAAGATAATCCGCCGCGTCTTCCCAACGGTCGGTTTTTGATTATTTCGCTAACCATCGGTAATTCTTTTGTAAATTGGTCGTCCGCTCTCAAAACGTATTCGAACCGTTCTGCACGTGCGCTGTAAATGTGTCGAAATACCGATGACCGTCCATGCGTTTTTTATACAAATAACCTCATTGTTTGTTATTCGCGCGAATAAGCGATTCGCGGTCGGATGCCCGTTTTCCCGACCAGATTCCCATCATACGGATTTTAACGGTTTTCAAAAACTTTTTAAACGTAAACGTCGTCGCGAGAATACCATGTTATACGTTCCTGTGCGACGACGGAAATCCGGGGTACGTTTTCTCGCCGGTCGGCGAATTCGGTAACTACCGCGATCTACCGCAGGTACCGTAACGACGCGTCTACTGCAGCGCGGCCGCGGAAATATATCATAACGTAATCGATTATTTCGCGCCGGGAACGTGGAATTTTATTAATTTTATCCGGACGATTACGTGCCACCGGAAATATTTATGCGTCGTTAACGTTATTAGCACGGGCACCGCTACCTACCCATTGTTATACCTATTGTCGCGGTGATATTGGCCGCCGTGGGAAAACGGCGTCGTCCGTGTTGCCGACGGCGAAAAAATGTTTACGACGTTATTATCACTGCTGCATTGTGTATTATCGCGTTATGTAACGTTGGCGCGCGAGCGCGCTCTGTGACAAATTACCAGACGTTAAACAGGAAAAAAAATAAAACAACGACAGCGACGAAAAGGGAAAAAAAATATAATAAAATAATATTCCATTATTGTTTTCCGCGAACCGGCCGGGCAACGTAACACCCGATATAATATGACCGCGTCCGCGCGACCGGCGCGCCGCCACGTGGTATTGTTGTGCGCGGACATCCGCCCGGCCAAACCGCTCTCGGGCTGTTGGCACTGCTCGATTTGAACGGACGAACTGCGTAAACGCATTGCCACGCTCAACGGGTAGAACGTTCCACGTGTGCGTCCGTACGCAATGGGGTTTCGCCGTTGTTGTAGTTTTCAAGCAGAGATGTTACGCGAACGTGCAACAACGGTTATGTTCCGCTTGCGAAATAAAATCTAAAAAAAAAAAAATTAAAAAAACCGACGCGCTATCCCTCCTATAAGCTAACCGATATGATATGACGTCGTGTTCTTAACTCCACGAGTTTTCACATTACTTCGATATTCGCTATGACGTCAAAACTAAAAGCGTACAATTGGGCTTGCTGAACGCGTATTCGCTAACGAATAATGCACGCACTCACGCTTGTGCACGTAGTGCCGTAACTATGGAAAATATCGAGGCAAAATCATAAACAATATAAACTAATCACGAAATTTTGTAATAAAACTTTATTAATTACCCGGCAAATAATTGACACAGTTCCCTTAACGTTCGTTACCCCCGAATAGCGGACTTTTGTTTTTTTTGTTTTTTTTTTTTCGGCCGCTATCGCGATGATATTTAAACGGATTTTAAATCGTGACAATCAACGCCGTCGGCCGATAATTAAGAACGCGACACATGTTAACAATATATATGTATACGCACGCACGCACGTAATACGCGCGCGCGGTTGATTGATATTATTGTTCTCGATGAGACGATAATAGGAGAAAAAAAAAAAATCAATACAAATTTAAGACCACGGCGCGCAGTGCGGTAGCCGAAAATTACTCGGCGTGAATTGCCGAACGACCGTAATCGAAATCAATTAACGCCATAATTTATGCCAATAAAAATTGACCGTGTTGCAGCCGCGACAATTGATTACAATCGCGGCCAGACGTTTTCGGCGGCGTATCCGCGCGCAATCGGCGCCGTTTCGTTTTGAACGCTCGAACGGCGCGAACGGGGAAAGCCGTCCGGGCGGATTCCGGCGGCCCCCGAACCCGGTGCCGCCCCCCCCCCGCGTAAACGCTCCGACGGCCCGCGCGCAGTGACCGGGCGGAAAACGACGCTACGGGTTCTTGTCGTGTGGTTCCGCCGCCGATGTTTGAAATTGCGGCGACGCACTCGCCGACGGGCCGGTTCTCCCGCGCGACCGGAAACCGCGACACGATCCGTTGCCGCGCACCTCCCGCCAAATCGCGAATCCGAAGAAAACAACAGAAAAAAAAAAAAAAAAGAAAAAAACCCCCGAAAATATTCGGCCGTAACGATCGCCGGACCGCGCATTGCTGTTATTACGATACGTACGCGCGTCGCAGACCCGTTCGAAATCGGTTTTCACAATCGTTTTTAATTCGTACAAATAACAGGCGCGTTGCCCCCGCCGTTATTATCCGCCAACGGTTATTGCAATTTTTTTCCGCATATTTCACCGTTTTTATCATTTTTTTTTTTTTTTTTTTTTTTTGTCCAGTGTCCGAAACGCGCGTTCCCGACTATCGCTCGCCGACGTTATGCTGTACGCACGGGTGTCATACGAAAATTCGCATACTATTATTACACGCGATGTGTACGTGCGTATCGCGCGACGGTGTGTCGCAAGGGGAAACAGGCAATGGCAAAAGGATTGGTTTTTTTTATTATATTGCTATTATTGCTATTATTTATGTGTTTACGAAACGCAGACAACGCGGTGTATCTCGGAGAGCACGGTATAAACTTTTCCTTCTCCGGGGTTTTTTTTAGCGAAATCGCACACACGGCGGCCGGTACGCCGGCCGTTACGGCGAAAATCCGAAGCGCGTCCGGCCCGAATTCGCTTCGGTCCGGAACACCGCCGCGGTTTGCGCATCGGCGTTGTTTTCTAACATTTCGTAAAACGTACGCGACAATGTACTTCTGCAGCCATAATCTGCAAACCATTGCAGAGTCAAGTCGTACATGATCACCGTTCGTATTACTATAGTACGTTTGCGCGGGAGGTTTCGATCGATTTTTTTGTGTTTTTTTGTGTTTTTTAACCGGCCCGCCGTCGTACGTCACCAACGTTTTCCGACCGTCTCGGTAATATTATTATAAATGCGAGGGTTTTTGTTCGGGCTGTTACCGCTGCACGCCCAAAGTACTGAACGGATCGATCGTGGAATCGTTGCGCGGGTGTATTATTGACCAGTTTCCCAACCGGCCATATTGCGGTGACGGACGCCCCGATTATCGCGTACCGAGAAATTCGTAAAAAGGGCATAAAAACGATACCGGTGACTTTTTTTTTTTTTTTTTTTTGTATTATGGTTGCACGAACTATGACATGTCCGAGTCCGTTATTTAAACCAGCGGTTCGACGGTGTCGCGCCCATCACTGTACAAAGAGCAACACGTGGATCCCGTTGGAGGGCTTAACAAGGGAGGGCCTCACCGGGCCAAATTTCCGATTTCCCGGCGGGCCTGTTCGCCCCCGAGAAATAACACATACATAGGCTATTCTTTTCCACCGCATTCAACCCCTGCGACGGTTTTTTTTTCGGAAACGAATTAGTTTCGTTAATTTCGCTGTGTATAATGCACATGTATGTGTTACTTTGGCGATAATAAGGACGGAGTGGATAGACAAGCCGAAACGAAGATGACGAAAAAATAGCAAGAAAGAGATTTAGTCCGTGTAAAGGATCGTAATAGTACGATTCGATTATTTTTTTTTTGGCACGGGAAACGCGGGACAGCTATACCGTCTTCGCATATTTATATTTCGGTATAATTACATATTTTTAGAACGATTCGCTGTTTTGTAAATATTTTTTAATCATATTTTGACGTTTCATCGTTTAATTTACGGGTTTCTTAAACCGCGCGTCGCGGCGGACTGAAAGGTTAGGTTCTATTTCATCCGTTGTACGCCGTTTGTCGGCGATTGATATTTACGGTCTTTGAATTTAATAACATTTGTTTACGGTTAATAACCGCTGATTGCGATCGCGGTATTTAGAGTTAGTGTTCGGCTGCGATACGTACGCGAGTTCAACGAGAGAATTACTCGGAAACGACAAAAAAAGAGAGCGGAAACGTAAATGTAAATTTATGAAACGATATGGGAAACTGCAGTGCCATGCCTATCAAAATCGGCCGTAAAAATTTGCCGACGAACAAAAATATAAATAAGCCAAACCCAACCTAACCTGACCAAACCCGTCCGTTATTGAGCCTTGTCGGTGACAGCACTCTAGACATTTCCGTCGGCACCCTCGCGGCCATAGCGCCCCGGTGCGCACGCACCTCTCACGCCCCCCACCCACCCACACCACCGATTGTAAATACGCTATATTTTACGAAATAATTGAAATTCTTCCCGTAGTACGCGGTCCTCGCGGATACCGGTCGGCTAAACGATAAACGACAAAATTAACCGAAAACCCGCATTGTTTTTAGAAAACGCATATACGAAACGCGTGTGTTTTTCGTTTTTTGTTCACGCTATAATATTACGTTACAGTAATACACGAGTCTTCCGTCGCCGTTCACAAATCCGTGTACAAACACACGCACGATCGAACGATTCGTCTCCGGTTTGCCGTGTATCATTCCCTTTTGGCCGATCAGCTACCGGCTTTGCTTTTCCCGTAACGTAATACGCGCAGCGCTTCCCTTCACCCCGTGTCCCCGCGGTCTTCCCGTGTCTACGACACGCGCGTCTGGTAATACAATATGTGAAATAAAAAAAAAAAAAAAAAAAAAAAATCTACGACGACACGAATATCCATACAAGCCGGGACACGTGTAAATGATAACGATAATAATAACTACAAGTTTAGTAATAAATTAATAATAATATCGTGTGTCAGAGGCGCGTTTATATTGTACCTAGACGTCTACACGTTGTCGGGGCTTGCAGCGCGCGCGTGCGTGTTTTACGCTCTTATTTTTCAGCCGTGTCGTTTCGCGATAAAATTCGCATTTATACAATATATTATGCGCGTGTATGCGGCGGTTTTTTTTTATGATTATTATTATTATTATTTTTTTTTTTTTTTACGTAATCTATAAGCGGCGCGTGACTTTACGGTGAAATTATACGTGTATAGAGCGCGGTGTGAGCGCGGTCGTTGTACACACGTAATAATAATATCGCATAATTATTATTATTGCCGTGTGCACGACGACGACGACGACGGCAGGTAACAATAACAGCGATATCATAACACACGAGTCGACAAAAACAAACGATGAAAAATTAACAAAAAAAAAAAAAAACCTACAACAAACAAATCGCGGAAGTCGTTTCCCCCCTCCCTCCCCGCCGCGCGCATTTCCCACGTTGTGCATTAGGCATAAATTACGGTTCCGCGAACGTTATTCGCAATCGGTCCGCACGGAAGCGGGGTGTAACAGTCGGCGGATCGTCCGTATCGGTCCTGTTAATTTTGTAGCAGTCGGTCGCTCGTCGAAATTCGGTACGGACCACGGTTATTACATAAAACACCGAACGAATATGTTATTGAAATCGTGTGCCGTTAGTGAAGTCGGTCGTAAGTGAAGTGTCACGTTAACAACTTCATTACGAGGACGCCGTGATACCCACATCCGTGTACTGTCTCAGTCCAATTAATCGAAATTGGCTTAATCTTGATATCAGAGTAAAAATACCTCTTATGAAATTTACACGGAGAACGTTGTTTTGCAGGGAATGCCGTGGGGTTTTTGTAGTATTCGAATTATACAGCTCGATATAATAGCGATGAAAACAATTTTTTTTTTTTTTGATTTTTAAAAATTACTGTAACTTTTTTGATAGTTCATAATTCGAAAGATACCCACGACATTCCCTACAAAATATCATTCTCTATAATTGCATACTAGGTACTTTTATTCTAAAATCAAAATTAAACTAGCTTTACTTATTCTGCGTAGAAGCATCGCTTTTCACCCGGTAGTTGGACTGAGACAGTAGGCGCAGGTATATTTACGTCCGTTTTACTACGATAATATAGGAACACAGTGATAACGTGAGACATCGTTTCACGGTTGACATTTTATAATATCGGTGTATCTATTTGCATTGCGTTCGCAGCGAATAATTATCGAAAAAGAAAAAGAAAGTTCCGGTTCTATGCCGCCCGGGCTACAGAACACTCTGAGGGGCGATGTAATTCCCTCCCCCTCGAGTACGCAGCTGACCGCTGGATAAAATGGGGCGTATAACAGTCTTCCCGGGGTGACGAGAATCGTGTAACCTCAACAAAGAAAAGCCCTAACTATTAAAATTTGAATTTATAGCACCGGTACAGATTTAACGCCGTCGAACTGACGACCCTGGACCAGGACAGACGACAAAATAATCGACTTTTCTACATTAAAATGTGACTTACCCCTCGATCAGTGGCTTTTTCCTTCTAACCCAATCGTTATTTACGCCCGACGTGATTGTGCAATCGGTGAACGTTTTAGGTTTGCACTAGGGACATTATCGGAACAGTATCAGGTTTAGAATTAAAACGAGATTTTTACGTATCGAAGCTGGTAAATGATATGATCTGGATCTCGGTATGTTAGCCATTTTCTTATCATCCCAAGAAAACTTGATTTATCCCCGGTAAAGTGTACTCAATCTCCGTAATTTGTATTTGCAGATTTTGTAACACTCGACTTTATACCATACAGTCGAATTATTACTAATAAATCGAATTAAAAAAAAAAAAATTTTTATACGTAGGTATACCGTTTATTATGTTTGTCGAAAAAACGATATTTAAAAAAACGATAAAAAAAAAAAAAAAAATAATAATAATAATAATAAATGTTCACCCAAACGGATAATAGTATTATATTTAAACACGATATTATATATTAAGTATAATATGGTTTAACATTATATATTAACGTACGCGTATAATATTATGACGTGTTCGCGCTATATGCGGGGAAACGGATTTTTTTTTTTTTTTTTATAAGGACTACCGCAGACGAGAAAAAAAAACCGTGTACATATATTTTTTTATTATTTTTTTTTTTCAGTTGACACGTTATTAAACCGCGACGACAACGACGACGACGTCTGCGGTCTGTTCTCATTTGTGTCGTATAATTAAACACGAGTGATTATTATCCCCAACACACTAACACATCGTCGCCTTGTACGCGCGTCTTTTTACGAGATAATACGAAAATGTGCGCGCGCGCGCGCGTGTGTGTGTGTGTGTGTGTGTGTATTCGGTCCGCTGATCGCGCCCACACGGCCGGGAGCCGGCGGACACACACGCTCATCGTAATCATATATTTTGTGTACCGAATGTCGCCGCGAGAAAACGCTTTATTATAACCGTTGCGTAGCGTACACAACGAAATATACAGGGCGGTCGTGCGGTCGAGATCCGGCGGTCGTCGCGTTATTAAAAAACGCGCAAAGATTTTCGGCGGTTTTCGGTTTCACGCGGCCGTGTTTGTCGCCAGGGTCCGTTACGCAGTACGTACGCGCGCGCGCAGTTGTCGGGGTAATCGTGGCCGCGGCGTCCGACAAACGCGAAAACACTACCGCGGAAAAACGTAAGAAAATGTACGGGGAAATCGCGCGACGGCGTTCGAGGAAACAATTGTAAAATAGCAAAAACGGACCGGACTCCTCGTCATTAGTTCTCTGATAAAAATATCTGATATCCTCGTGGAGCAGCCGACGCAGAGGCGGCGCAGACGCGGTCTCGACTGTAAACAATTCGTGCGGTCTGCAGAGTGATAGACACCCGAGTCCAAAATATTGTCCTCCGAAGACATCGGATTTACCAACCGTATCAAAAAAAAAAAACGTATCGAATGACGACGCTGCATTGATGCGCCTATAATAATGTTTTACGCTCGGATATTTTCGCGTTCTTATAATTAAAAATTGGCCGGGGAAAAAAACGTGTAGGACTTCGTAGTTCTTAAAAAAGATACCACGCACCGCAGTACGTCAACGTGCGATTTCCTTGAATTTTCGATTAAAAACGTGTTTGAGATGAAAATAGGATCAAGCAAGGGTGTAGGGGGGCGGGGGTAACTATTCGAGGCACTTTCCCCGGTAAATAGTCATAGAGTGAGAAAGTGTTAAAAAATAAAAATATAAAAGTATATAAAATTCAAGTGTATTCGAATTTAAAAATACGGACTCTAAGTCATTTGAAAATCAATAATCGATGATATGCGCGTGTTTTTTATGGTGTAATACGGGTAAAATTTTGAAAACGCATAAGTTTATTCGAAACGATTCCGCAATGAGTGAAAAATACCGGAATCGAATTTTCCCGAAATCTTCGCGAGTTGTATACATACATAGATCATCGAACACAGTCCATGAATTCGTGACGGTAAAAGAATCGCCCTGTACATCGAATTGGTATTGTTTTCTCGTGCCGGGGTAACTGCGGTACATAATTATAAATAAAAAAAGACGTCGTACTAAGTGAAAAACGTAATTATATTCGATATTTCCTACGGAAATCACGCAGCTAACGTCGTAAAAATTTGTTTGATCGCGTAAGATGTTTTGTTTTGTTTCTGTTTTTTTTCTTTGATTTTCAAACGGGTTATGTATCTAATTAGTGACTATTGAGTACACGAGTATACAGTGCGATCGAAAGCAAAAAACGGTAAAAATAAAAATGTGTACGTTCCACTCGTATGTGCCGTCGTATAGTCCGCGTCGCGTGCAGCATTTTTTTTTATGTTCAAAGTGAACCAGATTTATTTTCCGTTGATGGATGACATCAATTTTCGATGACGCGTGCCGTTTACTTGTCGTTATAAAAGGCTACGATATAATTCGCAATAAAACAACATCGGGCGGGTTAAGCGGAACCATAACGATTGATAAAAAGTTCAATTTAATAACTGCGCATTGTATAGCGTTGACGTTTCGCCATTTATACGAGCTGCAGATTTGTCAAGTAGCATACAGATGAGATTTATGTAATACAATCATTTGAAATACCGACCGGGAGTTTGAATATTCGTTCTCTAAATTTCGATCTACGGTTATTACCGTGTAAATTGTAAATGTTTTTTTTTTTTTTTTTTTTCCCAACTATGTAGACTTGTTCTATTCGGGTATTACTGTTTTTGTCGACGAATCAGCATTATTTGTTTACTAGGCTTTTTTTAACTGTGTCCGCGTCTCGTTTTATCATTGTTATTATTATTCCGTATAAGATGTGTTTATTATTATGTTCGAGGAGAGAATTTAATACCCAAATAATATACGTCCAATTAAATTGGTTCAAACCATTCCCAACGCAGTGCGCACTGGTATAAATTATAATAATATTCTTTATTATTTTTTTTTTTCTTTAATGGCGTGTGCACTGCAGATAACAACTGCCACAGCAGCGGCGAGCCTAAACGAGTTTAATTAATATGTCATTTAGAATTTCGTTCGCAGTGCGCCAGACACAAATAAAATAATATTGACGAAAACGACGACGAGTCAATATATACGGTGTGTTGTTTGTTTTAGATTCCGAGTGTAGCTATAGGAATGCATATTGGTGTTACTGGTTTATGATATACGTATATATTTATACAATGATGGTTGTCTCATCAAATAAACAACTGTTATATACCAGACGTCAACGAATTTGTACAATACAAATGTTGTCTAGTCTGTGCGCTGAGGTCATTTTGACAATTGCCGTGGTTGTTTTTTTTATTTATTTTTTAAACAGTTTTCTCGTTAATAATGGGTAAACACCGGGGATATTTACACAATAACGGTTTCCAATATACTATAACGTGTCTCGCGTTCGACTTATAATCCCGGAGGAAATAATCGTAGACACCCGAAATAATGTTCACCGAATACCTATTTCGGAACTTATTGAACACGATACACGGTTTTCAACGGAAATTCCGGAATTTTCGTTTGGTTTTATGCGGACAGTAAAATTGTTTCGGCGACGCGAAAATGGTCGAAAATTCTGTACGCGAAGTTCATCGCGTAAATTACAAAAAAAAAAAAAAAACAAACGTAGGCAATACTATACCGCGGAGATTTTGTATAACGTTACACACACTCTATGAATTATCCGTATTATTTTATACCGTAATTACCGTATTCAGACCACTGTTGTGTTCATATTATAAAGATCGCAGATAAAAAAAAAAAAAAATATACATACATATAGCGTTTTTCGTATACGCGTAGTAGACGTACACAGTAGTTATAATTATAATAAAATAATAGTTACGCGCATAGCACGACCCACGTGAAAAGCCCGAAACAAAACGCATTATTATAATGCACGGTGGCTGTGTTATATTGTGTTTGCACACGATAATTATTACCCGTTTTCATATAACGCCCGTGTAATTATTCCGAACGTGTTATTTATTCGCGTAGGCCCTAATCCGGCAGATCCTATCTGGTGCGGCCCCCGGGTGTTATCCGAAAAATACTATGATAAAGGCGGAGCTCGGGGTTTAGGGCGCACAGTGCTGATAACACGAGGTATCAAACATGATTACGCATCATCACAATCGTGTATCTGCGGATACGACGACCCGCGGTACCGTGTCAAAGTGCGTGATAAATAGAACGCCCGGTCCTTCGTCGAATTCTATACTATATTATTCTTATCCGTGTTTGTATTGTACTTCAATTTTAATTTTATGCGAAAAATTATATTTTTTAATTAAACATTTGATGAGACGTGTGAATATTTTTGTGTGTGTATTTTATTTTATTTTATTTTTTTTTTTATCACAGTTTTACGAGTTTAAATCAACTTTCCGGAGCGCTAGTGGGTAGCCTTCTGTACGCCCTAAAAGAGCGGCCTACGCACGCCTACGATCCATACGACGGTCTGTACGGAACGTCTTATTTGATACATCGCGTATTTATATTAATATTAGAGCTGGAAATTTAACGCACTAAAAAACCTTATAGAAAAAAAAAAAACATTTAAAAAATGAAAAACGCCGGCTTCGCTCGTCAACTAGTGTGCCGCTGCGCTGCCCCTTAATCGCTTAGCTAACCTAAATTTCCAACCTGATACTGTACCATAATACGATAACAGTATAATATCCTAAATTATAAACCTAAACCCGGAAAACCGTCTCAGTTCGATCGCTTCACGAGTTCATGTCAGGCTTGTAATCAAAAATAAACCATGGTTTGTCGTGTAAAACCCCGTCGGGTAGGTAATAGGTATAATAGATGAGGAAAAAAACAAAAATCAACAAATTAGTTCCGCGAACGTCTGGTTTGAAATCGATAAAAACATGTGGTCAGGAAGCGCTGCGTTAGACCATCAGAACACTATATTCATATTCGGTGGCATATTTAGAGGGGGGAGGTGGTTGTCTTGGAGATTAACCCTCCCTCCAATATTTTTTCTAATTCTGTTCATTACTGAAGTATCGCAAAATATTGTTGACGAAATATTTCAAAACTACTATGAAAATTTCTATCATAGATTAATAATAATTGAAGACTACCGAACGATAATAATATTAGGTTTATGTGTATTACACGAATACATTGTAAATATACAAATATACAAAATTAATTAAACTGATATGAGAAATTACACAGTAAATTTAAATGTTAAATTAGTTTTAATTTATTCAGCCAAATCGTTTTTACTATATTCCTGTTATAATTTTATGATAATCAAAAACTGAAGTGGCAATCCTAAGAATTCTATTTAAACACTCATTAGGTTTTGAGGTGTATTACAATCAAGTATGAATTCGTGCTACGTTAATATTTGTGGAATAAAAGTATTTCCAGGAGTCAGGAGTCACCCCTCCAAAAAATAGCCCAAAATACGCCACTGTTCATATTGAATTGTATGATAAGAAACCTACTTGAGTACGAAAAGCTACACAGTCGTTCGTGTTCTTTGTTTTCATATAATACGCACAGCGGTAAACGTGAATCGACCAATCAGAAACGACCGGTCGCGTAGCAATGCACGGGACGTTAATATATGCGATCGGTCGGGCCGCTTTTTCGGATTTTATTCTTTGATTTCCAACAATTCGATTTGAAGATATTTTTTTTGAATTTATGCAAATGTACCTACAAATAACAATAATAAAAAAAAAAAAAACCTAAAATGAAAATGAATAAAGTGGCTAGACCGAACTCGCGTTCACTTTACGCTGAATTCGAATCTGTTTTCAGAATGTTCTGTTCGCTTCACCGCCTTCGCCATAACGTCGATCGCATTATTGTCGGAAAATCGGTCTAAATTGGTATGATGTGTATATTGCGTCAAACGAAAAACGGTATGGCCGTAACCTGATCGCCTTAACAAATACAGTAGGTTTAGAGTTTCATCACGCGTAAATCATTGCGGTTTTAAATGTAGGTATAACAGCAGTTGAGAATTACAACACAAATGTATTCCAATTTGCTAATCTCAATTTAAATTGATACAACAACTTGTCCGTGATCAATTGTGTACAAACACCGTAAACCTTAACCGCGGTCCGGTCGATTCCATACAACTCGTAACGTACCGAAAACTCCTGCAGGTCGTCCCGCCTTGCACAATTAAACATTGTGTTGTTTATGTAGATAAAAAAATATATACATATATATATATATATATATACCATCAGTTTCTCGGTACATAATCCACAGGCATCCGTGTTATCACGGTTGAATGAAAAACCGCTTCGTGGTACGGTACACTAGAAAACCACCACCCAAAAGTGGCATCAAGGTGTTTTCTCTCGAGCAAAAGTTGATTACAAACAGTCAACTACAGTCCCGTAATTCGTATCACTCCAACCAATAAATGTTATTAATTTTAAATTGTTTTGTAAAAGTAACATTTTTCGAATTTTCAATAATTTTTAGCCCGAACTTTGTATGAATAATATATATAAGCGCGGGTTTCTTTTTTTTTTCCTCCGTGGAATCGACGCGACAAATCGAAATCGAATTCGAAAGCGTCTCCCGAAATCGGATGTATTTACGGCCCGGGGCTTAGATAACCTGTACCGTTTGAGACCGATCCATCATATGTTATGATGGACAAGTATTGAACATATTGCCGCATACGTCGATAATGCGCAAGTCCATTGCATTGTATTAAATGTTTGCGGCGCGAGTGGACGAATGGATGATGATGAGGTGGTAATATCGTTTTAAATGAATCGCCCCGAATTCCGATCGGGTCTCGTTTTAGGTTACACATCAATAATATTATAATCGGACGACTGTATTTTTTCCGATACCCGATATTTGTTGTCGATAAAAAAACCACTGCAGATGTGAAAATCGACTATCAATGGAACATCATTGAAACAAACCGATATATCGAATTTATAAACTCGACACGGATTATTATTATCATTATTGATAACTGAACCCGGCGACAACTGCCGACGTACGACTTTCTTACAACAGTTTGATCCGCTATAACTTCCCATACATAATCCAAATTGTGCATTCATGAATTCTTCAAAAAAAAAAAAAAAAAATGTAAAAAATGTGCAAAATAAGATTTCGTCTCGGATTTACAAACGACACGACGCAAATGCTGAGCGTGTTCCCTGTTGTTCCGGATATAATCCGTTCGATACATCGTTCAGAAATAAAAACCGACCCATCGTTTTCAAATGACCGTAACATTTCGAAAAAGAAACGCATCGTCTTATACTCGGATTTTTATGATTTCACTCTAAAACCGAAAGCGAGCGAGTTCTATGCGATCCGCGTAAGATAGATTTTCCTGTATTGCCTGTAGCCCCGTATTAACAGCACACATTATTGCGGGCACACGGGGCGTCCTCCTCTGACGGTAACTTTTCCGTACGTGCCTCATCGATAAAAAAATAAAAAAAAATTCGGTTGCGATTTTTCATACGACACTACGCCGGTAAAACGAAATGCTTTATTTTCGCATTCGACACTTATAAATACTATAAGAAAAAAAAAAAAAAAAAAAATAATAAATAACCATTTTCTAGCGCGATGATGATAATAATATATTATGACGTGCGCGCACGGTGTTTATCATGTTTCTTTTTAGTATAATTCGTTATCGCGATCATTGTGTATTATAACAGCAATAATATAGTAGTTTTACGCCGCGGTTTTGTTTTGTTGTTTTTTTTTTTTTTTTTTTTTTTTTTTTTTTATGTTTTTTTCCGCTTCTTGTTAGTACAAATGTATAAATTATTACGTTTAAATATACGTTCGGGTAAAAAAAAAAAAAAAAAAAAAAAATAGCGAAGCTATACGTATCGTACATTTATACTATTGTAGGGACATCTGTCTCGTTTAAAATTACACACAACAGGGCGTATAGGTGCCTGTAAATATGTGTGTGTGTGTGTGTGTGTGTGTGTGTGTGATGTCATCATAATTATAATTATAACGATATTATATTATACACTGGGTCGTAAAAAAAAAAAAAAAAAAAAAAACCAAGACGCCCGCAATGTAGCGCCGTATATTTACTACGCGCTTACCGAGTTTAGCACGAAACCCTCGTAAATTCCCCGGGTCATTCGCGGTCTTCGCGTTGTTCGTTTGTCCACGTTTTGATATCAAATTAGAATGATAATTGTTACTGCGCACGGTACAGTTGCTGTAATAACAATTACTGCGCCGATTAGCCGCCGCACCCGCCCAGGGCATTACGATATTGTTGTTCGCCGCAGCGAACGTCAAACGAAATTAAACGAGACAATGTACGCGAGTAGATTTTTCTTATGAAATTCCGCATGTACAAGACACTGTGCGAATAATATTTGAAAAAAAAACTTTAAACGCAACGTACGCGATTTGCACCCCCCACCCACCAACACACACACGCACGCACACGCACCCCGTTACGCCGACCATTGAGTAATTGAGTAATTTCTCAACCGGACGACGGCCGGGGTTGTCCGCAGTGACATGTTGTACGCTCTCTATAGCCGAAGTCTTGATTATTTTTCTCCTCGCGATTTTCATAATAAGCGGCAAAAGTTTCGCGTTATTTCCGACTGCTGGAAAACAATCGCCGAGACCGGACATTTTCGCGGAGTACTCCGCACATCGGTCAAATTCTAGGCGCGGTTAATAATGTTCAATACGTTCCGGCAATTTTCGAGCCGCGACGCACAGACACGTTTGAAATCGTTGGGTCTGCTTTTTTTTTCTGTACCACGTAAACGCTCGGCGCGATTTCGCATCGTTTTCGTAACGTTTCCGGCGAACGCCGAGCCGCCGCGACAAATGGCACGATTGAGCGTCCGCGCGTTGCTGCGAACGTGAACCCGAACGTCGGGGAGTGAAAAGAAAAGGGGTTTTTTCGTTTTTTTTTTTTTTAATCGAGCGACGTGTTACCGGCTCGATACGTTATTGCCGTGGTACGCCGCGCGCACCGGCGGGATCCGTCAACCGCTGTCCGTGTTCGACGTCGCGACAACGACTACCGCGGTTCCTGGGTCGCCGCGGGCACACGAGCTGCCGCACGCGTAACGCGCGCACGCCAACAACGTAAAAATCGCGTCCGGTCAATTCCGTTCGTTCCGCCGACTCGGCGCGGTCGGTACAGCGTCGAACGCCGCCGTGTAATTCGGGCGCGCGTCGCCGTTGCCGCCGTCCGTCGCCCCGGCTCCGTCGCTCACCGTCCGACCGCGCGGTACGCGGGACAGCGGGACAGCGGGACAGCGGCCGCGCCGCGGCGGAATACCGAGTCCGTCGTGGATTGCGCGGGTCGCGTTCACGGCACGCGCGTGTGCCGGTGCGCAGAAAAACGGATTTACCGCGGCGCACGTTTGCGCGTACAAGTACATTGGCAAGACACGTTTCGACGGCGCGCGCCTACGAAAACGACGCCAAACCCGGCCGGGATTTCCCCGTACAATTGCGTATGCGGACGGGAAATTTTCGAATCCCGCGAACACGACCCCCGGCCCCTGCCCCTACCCCGTCACCACCACCCCGCGCGCGCGGTTACAGTCCACCTCGCAGTGTTCGCTCGCCGGCGTACGAATTCGATCGGAAACGGTACGTGCTAATTTCGACCGGCGCATTTGTCTTATTTTTTTGTTTAGATTTTTTTTTTTTTTTTTCCGACGCAATCCAAATACGTATTATTATATTGGTTTTTTTTTTTTTTTTACGAGTTTTTCAGCAGACACAGTCGTGTGTTTGTTGTTGTTTTTTTTTTCCTCCACAACAATAATACAAAACAAAACGTTTTATGCCTACACGACAGAAAAAAAAAAACAGTGCGCGACAGATGCATGTAGGTGTGTCGCGACGTGTGTACCTCTATATATATATATTCGACATTAACATATCATTTAAAAAATAAATAAAAAGCCAAATATCATAATATTTTACATCGTTATAGACGCGCTGTTTTCAGAACAAACAATATGCATTTACGTGCGGGTAAATCAATAACGATTTTTCGTTTACTTAAAAAAAAAAAAAACAAAAAATTCTATTTGGTTTTTTTTTTTTTTGTTCTTTGTACCATTATTACCGTTGCGCGTACGGTGTGCAGTTGCTCACGCGTCCAGAAATCTACCGGAACCGCCAAACGCACGCGGGGCTAATGATAATTAATGTTATTTTTTAATTAGGCTAATTTTACACGCGGCATAACGGAACGGTTTTATTGGACCGTCGTCGCCGCGTCGGTCACCGCGGCGACGCGGAAGACGAGGCGCGTCGTCGTGCTCCCCCCCGTTGGCTTGGAAATACAACAAACACGAGGGCATTTTCACGTTTGCGGCGGTTCCGTCTCGAAATCATCGTATTTCATCCGGGTAACGAGCGGGGGAAAAACGGTCGGTTTCATTCGTCGGACGGAAACCGGATTGATTTGTTTTGTTTCGCGCGCCGTTTTCGGAAATTCTCGTTTAATAGGAACGGGGGAAAAAAAAAAAAATCCTCGCGGTCTTTAATTACTACGCGCGCACGCGCATCCCTCCACTGTCCGACCCCCTCGATACGATCACGCGGATCGACCGCGGCGGGAATTCGGTGTCACGACGTTCGACGCGATATTATCCGTCGACGGTCGCGCACTCGCAATACGCGGTCACGCGACCGATGTTACGGGCGCGTTGTGACGACGATTGCGATATTATTTCGCCGTGGCCGGCGCGCGCGACAATCGTTCCGGGACCGTACGGCCGACGATACCGCCGCGAAGACAACGGCCGTTTGCCCGGCCGTCGTCTTCGCGCGCGTGCGCGTCACAATCGTCGCATTCGGCACAACTCGTTACGGATACTGTTGCGGGCCGCACCGCGACAATGCGGTTTCATAGGGTCGACTCGAGGAATGGACGGAACGCGGTACGTTGTTTTACGGCGCACGGCGAAAACCGCGAAAGCGTTTTTTTGTTTTTTTGTTTTTTTTTTTTTTTTCTCTTCGACGCGGACAACGCGCCAATATTGCGACGGCGACGGCCGACCGTGTCGGCGCTGTTCGGGGGGTAATCGCGCGCGGGTCCGACGCGTTATTATCGGGCGGGGGGTGGAGGGAGGGAGGGAGGGAGGAAACGTTCTCGTACGGAGGCTGCGCGGGCACGCGGTTTCGGTTTCGCGGCGTCCACCGTCGGAAAACTATAAATAACGCGAGGAGCGCCGAATTCGGCCGTAAGGGCGGGACGACGCGGCGTTTTGCCGCGACGTATTATTCCGTACGCAACGACGCCCGTCGACCGCCACGCACACGCGCCGTTTAGAAGAAATAACCGAAGGAAATAATTGAAACTATTTACATTTTTTTTTCTCTCTCTCTCTCTCAAAACGACTGTGACCGTTCGAAAGACCAAGAGACGGACGTACGATGGGCACGATGGGCGGGGGCCGCTGTTGTGGCCGAGAAGTTGAACGATATCGTACATCATCGTACGTATTGTGGTAAAACAACAGTTGTTACACAATAATGCGTTATTGTACGTTTTCTTCAACAATATTTGTCTTTCGGTTTTTTCGCCATTTATTATGCGCACAGCCGGGGGAAACGGAACAAACGACTTTCCCGGAGTACCGCGTCCCAATCAGATTTCGTTTCAGTAAAAGTGTTCTAATCGAAAGCCGGAACGAAATTGTCGGTAGAAAATAAAAAATAAACATCATTGTAAAACCGACAATACACGCCTCGCTCCGCTCGGGATCTAAATCGCGTCGTCTTTATGCCCTTCGGTATATATCGTCTTTTTTTTTTCTGTCGACAATCGGCGGGCGCTTTTACTCCGACACCGAAATGTCAAGCGAGTGCCCCGCACGCGGTCCACAAACCGTCCGCAGAACTGTGGCCGCGCCGCGTGCGTCCTCTCAAGTTTCCACCGGGTTCGTCTGGCATCGTCGTACCCGCCACAGACGCGTATGCGTTTCATGCGCAACACTACGACGGGCGACGAATCTCGACCGCGTGGTGGGGGGTGGGGGAGGGGGTATGGGGCGTATTGAAATTGATAATCCCGAGAGCCGCGCGCCTATAGCCACGCGGTGGCTCGGGTGCGCAGCCCGGGCTGAACAACCGAGTGCGCCCGTGCCCGCACCTGTGCGTATTAAAATAAACAAGACGAAAACAAACACGCGGTACGTTTTCGCAATAAATAACAGCGTTTAATAGCAATAATTTATCACGCTATAGCTGATGTGTGTCCGCGTGTACGCGCGCACGGGTATCGGAGGTTTGTATCTGCCCGCGCGTGATGCTGTTTTTATTGCGCGATTACGGAAAATTATTTCTATATTATTATCATTACGCTCGTTGATAAACGGGTCGTAAATCGTACGTAACGTTAAGACGACGATTGCAATTTATCGAAATACTCGAAACGAGTTTCGTTTTTGTTTTTTTTTTTTTTTTTTTGTTTCTCTCTCTCTCTCTCTCATTATTATCGATCTATACCTATATAATTGTCAGACACCCGGATGGATACTGCAAATTTTAAACACCCACGTGATGTAAAAACGTATGAATATCGTGAACGGTCCGTCCGTTTTCAATGTTGTTGAAAATTCGTCTGGTCGAATAAAAAACGAGACAAAATAATATATAAGGTAAAGGAGTGTACAGGTGTACATCACGCACGGGTATCGTTTAGTGGTTCGTCCACGGCTCGACGCACGTGCGACGCTTTTTATACAATTTCATATCGGTTGTACAAAAGTGATTTTTTTTTGTTTTTTTTTTTTTTTTTTTTTTNATAATTTATCACGCTATAGCTGATGTGTGTCCGCGTGTACGCGCGCACGGGTATCGGAGGTTTGTATCTGCCCGCGCGTGATGCTGTTTTTATTGCGCGATTACGGAAAATTATTTCTATATTATTATCATTACGCTCGTTGATAAACGGGTCGTAAATCGTACGTAACGTTAAGACGACGATTGTAATTTATCGAAATACTCGAAACGAGTTTCGTTTTTGTTTTTTTTTTTTTTTTTTTCTCCGGAACAAATATAAATTGATAAAATTTCGCATTTTTTACGGTACACGGGTACGGGATGGATATACGGGTACACGGAAAACCGGTGTGTTTTATACTCGCGGGTATCGCGGACATGTATATACGTATATATGTATATTATGACATGACGTCATATTAAATATACGTAACAAGCGGTCGATTCGCTGACAATCAATTAAAAATAATGTTTTTTTTTTTTTTTTTTTTTTTACAATCGAATTTGAAAAATACTTTTCCCCGCGAGTGTTACCATAGTATAATCCTCAGTGTTGAATATCACCCGTAATTAATCGTACGTCATATTTTACAATACAATAAATACATAATGTAAATAGATATACAAACGAAAAAAAATGCACACATAAAAAGAAAACAAACGAATCAACCGATAGCGTCGCCCGGAGTACTATGATTAGTGTATTTACGCGACCTGGTTTCGAATTAAACATCCCGTCATCGGGTGTATCACAGTGAACATGTAAAACGCGATTCAAACTGTAAATGTTGACCGATTCGTTAACGTAATTTGCATTATTTGTTTACGAGTGTTGAGCGTTTTAATAATTTTTGTTTCACTTTATGATATCATTACGGTAAACGCGTTACGGGGTGCACACGACGGCCGCAGTGCCGAAAAAACGCCGAACGAAAAATATCGGTCCGATGCCCAGAGCTAGACGGGCGCGCCGCTGGCTCGAACTTTCGCGCGCGAACAAGTCCAACAACGTGGTGACGGGATCCCGCGGGGTCGCCCGCGAAAAACGCGTTTCCGAGCGAAGTTCGGTCGCAATGCACTGCAGTGTGTGCGCGCGCGCGTGTGTACATATACGTTCACCTACGCGCGCGTTGTCCCGTCGCGTATTTTCCCGTTTTTCCCCCGGTCAACACGCGAGCGCGCGCGCGACGGCACGTCGCGGCGTAAACGCTCCGGGGTAACGTAAACGTACGGCCGCGTTGAACAAACGCGCGCGCGTTGTAACGCCGTGCACCGTCCGCGCGCGGCGTCCGCGTCCCTCGTCGTCCTTGTCCGGGAGACGCGCCGTCGAGACCGCGACCCCGCGGCACGATGTTATTACGTTCACGTGGGAATCGATTCAGCACGCGCGCGTGTCGATCATCACGTCGTCAGTCATTGCGCGGCGATTGTGCGGCCGCGTAAACGTGCGACGACGACGACGACGACAGTACCCCGTCCCGTCGTATTACATCGCGGCCGCGCGCCGTCGCGGGTGTGCGGCGGGACGAGTGCGGAACGTAAAACAGTAAACAATAGACGGACGGAGCAGACGGAAAGAAAGAAAAAAAACCCCCCGTGCGCGTTACTGTACGCGCGACAACAATATTGTCCGTAGTGGACGAACGGGCCCCGGAGGTTCGCGGTTATTTTCCCCATTTTTCGCCGGCGCCCGTCCTTCTTTTCAGGCGCGTCGGCCGAAAGTCGAGACGAAACGGACACGCCGTGCGGACCCGGGCGAAATCGACTCGCGGCGTACGTCAACACGAATCGTGTATCGATGTACGTATACAGCGCGCGCGCGAAACGTTAAATCTAAGAGTTTGCGTTCGCCGGTGTTATATGTACGCAATGTCAATTCGATGTTAGAGGGAAAAATTAATAAAAATACACGCGTGCAATACACACAATCCTTGGGCTTACAATTACAAAAATACTTCCAAAGATTTTTTTTCAGTTGCAAACGTGTTTAACTAAACAACCGTACCGGTGAAATGCCGTACGACGGACGATAATTTCCGTTATTTGTAAAATCTAATATAATCACCCCGTGCGTAACACACACGTTAATAATAAGTCTGTCCGTTGCGTTTTCGTTTGGCGAACGTCGTTGTGTTCGAACCACAGCTGAATTCGCGCCCGGCACTTTCCGAACTCGCGTGTCGCCGGCCGAAGAACAGTAACGAATCGGTTTTCGTTCCGGACGCACCGAACGCCGCCCCGTGTCCGAGCGCTCGTCGTGCTTACGGAATCGCCTGACGGAAACCGTACGACGGCCCTCCTCCGTGGGACACAACGACGGGACGATCTGCGCCGCGCGGTATTTCCCGCTCGTTTTGCGATTTTCGTTCTGCGTATCGACCTGAGCAAAACCGCCGCGGGTATCGTGCGCGCCGCACGAATATCGAGCAAACCGAGGAGCGCGATTCGAACTGAACGAGTCTTCGGCGTCGTACGCAAAACGCAGAGAAATGCGCTGAAAACAAGTGGATTCTCTGTTCTTTATTTTTTTTTCGTGCCCGCGATTAAACGGATATTTATGTTCAAAGAGCCGGCGGAGAAACTTTTTTTCCGCCGTTCGCCGGTTTCCCGCGTGAATTGCATTTTACGTCGCCGAAACGTTACGGTATCGGGCGCGCGTCGGTTAATCGCGCACGCGGACGTGTTGCGTTGTGTGCGGTAAATTTCGCAACGACATCGATTCAATGTACAATTGCGCGTGTACATCCGGCTACGAAGGAAAGAAAAAGCGAAAAAGGCCACACGAACGCGATACGTAATAATTTATAAAAACCGTTATTAATCCCGGCTACCCGCGGAAGTGCGCGTCCCTTGTTAAACGTACGTTATCGCGCGGGCGCCTGCGGGTGTGCGTGTAAAGCGTGATAGCGCACGCGGTCGCGCAGACCCTTTTCGAAAATTACACGGCACATTGCGCGCCGCCCGCGCTCGTTTGTGCGCGACCAACAATAATTTATTATTGACCGCGGTTGGTGTCGACCTGGTGGCGCGCGGCGAACGCCGTTCAAACGATTCCGCGGGGTCGGACGGAACGCGCGGAACGGCCGCGTAAATACCCGGCCGGGGCGGACGGACGGCGCGGGCCCTTGAACGTTTCGAGGCCCCGGACCGGGGCTGGGGGCGTGGTTTCTTCGGACGGGCCGTTTTTTTTGTTTTGTTCCGCCCGTCGGCGCCGGGCCGAGGCCGATGTCCGGCCGCGGGCGTTGCGGAAGTCCCGCGGTCGCGTCGCGGACCGCGCGAGACGCCGACGGCCCCGGCGCCGCCCGAACTTCGCGCGGCGCGTTCGCGATGTTCTTTTGCGTCCGACTGCGCGTCGACACGTGTGCAAGTCCCGAGCTCGTACGTTCGCAATACGCACACAATTGTACGGTTCGGCGATCGCGGCGTGATAATAACGCACCCGCGACATCGGCGTGGCGCGCGTCGGTTCACGCAACTTTTAGGCGCGTCTTCGGCCCGTTACATTCGTTCGGTATTGCGATGATTGAAAAAAACCGTACGGGCCCGCCCGCACACGAACTTGTATACAACAGAAATTCGCCGTCACACAGCAGACGTCCGTAACGTATTCGATTATGTTTTTAACGGGGTTATTCCCCGGACATTTATTTTCGTTTGTATCGTTTTTGTGTGTGTTTTTTTTCCGGCAAAAAAAAAAAAAATCGGTTTGTTGGTAATGAACGGTGTGAGGGCTTTTCGCACTGTCCGGGAACGGTAAACTCGCACAATTTGGCACAATCGTTACAGGCACGAGCACAATAACGATTAATATAATAATTATATGACAGTATACAGTTTTCGGTTATACAAAATAAATCGTATACATCATCATGCAATTGAAACACTGTCCGTCCGTCCGTCGGTCGGCTACGCAAACCGTGTGGTTTTGTTCCGATCTCGTGGAATATGTGTACACTTAAAAAAAAAAAAAAAAACAGGAAAATCGC